AAAGATGAGTTGGATGAACAGGGGCCAGAACAGAGAGATGTGAGCCATTAAACTGTTTGAATATTCTACAGGTTGGGCAGATTTTAAGAATAAAAGCAGCAGGAGCTGATGCGGATTAAAGACATGTTCCACTGGCTGGAGACAATACAGTTAGTCTCACTTTGTCCCAGGTAACCCAGAGCTCACTTGGGTATGCCTAAGAGTAGAAAGTCGATCCAAATGCCACTAGATATGCGTTCACATAATTAAAGTAGATTATATCCACCGGCTGAGTGAGGTGTTTGACTTTTCTCTGGCACTAGGGCAGGAACATGCTCATCAGTCTTGTCGGACAACTGCCCTTAGGTAGGCCACTATTGCCTTCATGAGTATATTGTGGTCAGTACTGAATATTCACTGGGTATGAGCGCTAGCTAGAAAGGAAGTCCTGGCAGGCAGCAAGATCACTGCCTCCCTTTTATAGTCCTATGGAGCTCTAACTGAACAGGAGTTTTGGAGAGTTTCTAGATTTGTTATTCCCAGAAGAAGCCTGTCCAGGGAGTCCCTGTTTTCATGGTTAAGAATACTTTTAATTTCCAGATGAAATGTATTCCTCACCAATTTATGACCAGCTGTTCCAATGCTGACATTGTCTGTTAGCTCAAGTAATTCTTTTTTTTTTGGCCCTGGTGTTTACTCCATGATGGATTTATAAATGATAAGCAAATCCCTTCTCAGCCTTGGTTTAACCAGGCTCAACAAACCAACCTGTTTTAGTTTTCTGTCACAAGACACACTTTCCACTTCCCTGATCATTTGTAGCCCTTTTCTATACCTAGTCCACTTTGAATTTTGCTTGGTGGAACTGCAAAGATAGAATGGTTACACACCATTGCAAACATCTCACCCTGGCATTTCACAATCGCAATGATACATCTTTATCTGATGGAAAACTGATTCAGACTCCTCTTACACCTCCCTTTGCTGCTTTACTGGTGGATAATAGCACGCAGCAGCAGCCAATGGAATAAAAATTTCCCTATGTGGATTTGGAGAAGTTCTGGCAGAAAGAATAACCATTCTGTTATATCTTGTTCTTCAAATACATCAATAGCAAAAGGAAGACTAGGGAAAATGTGGGCCCGCTGCTGAATGGGGCAGGTGCCCTGGTGACGAAGGATACAGAGAAGGCAGAGTTATTGAATGCTGCCTTTGCTTCAGTCTTCGCTGCTAAGGCCAGTCCTCAGGAATTTCAGACCTTGGAGACAAGAGAGGAAGGCTGGAGAAAGGAAGACTCTCTCTGGGTGGAGGAGGATCAGGTTAGAGATCTTTTGTCCAAACTTGACATCCATAAATCCATGGGCCCTGATGGGATGCACCCACGAGTGCTGAGGGAGCTGGCGGATGTTATCGCTAGGCCACTCTCCATCATCTTGGAAAGGTCCTGGAGATCAGGAGAGGTGCCTGAGGACTGGAAGAAAGCCAATGTCACGCCAGTCTTCAAAAAGGGCAAGAAGGAGGAGCCAGGAAACTACAGGCCTGTCAGCCTCACCTCCATCCCGGGAAAGGTGATGGAACAGCTCATCCTGGAGGTCATCACTAAGCATCTGGAGGACAAGAAGGTGATCAGGAGTAGTCAGCATGGATTCACCAAAGGGAAATCATGCTTGACCAATCTGATAGCCTTCTATGACAGAATGACTGGCTGGGTAGATGAGGGCAGAGCAGTGGATGTTGTCTCCCTGGACTTGAGCAAG